GGTATGTACTGAACCGAGACCCTCGTACTGAGGTACGTACCAAACCATGGTACTCATATGTCAATAAACCATTACCCTCATACTGAGGTAAAAACCTAATCACAGTAATCATACAGTAGTAGTAGCAGTAGCAGTAGTAGTAGTAGTAGTAGTAGTAGTAGTAGTTGTTATTTTCCACTTGTGTCATGCAACAGAACAGGTGCCCAGCCCACAAGGGCTTACATGACACAGCAAAACACATTTACACAGGCGGACAGACATAAACTTTCTTTAAACAGAAAGTGTCCTCTTCCTGAGGTGCCAAGCTTTTAACAAAAATTGCAATGAAATACCAAATAAACTGAAATACAAAATACTTAAATACTGCACTTTATCTTCATCAACTAAATAAAAATGTCTGAATAAACATCAATAACTTTACCAAATAATTCATTTCTCTAAATCATATATAAAAGGACAGTAAAACAGAAAGTGTATCATTCTCAATTTCACCCAAATCACATAAAGAACATACGATCCTCATCTGGAACTGAACAAAAACATCCAGTTTCTAGCGCCAAAGTCAAAGTGCCAGATTTAAATTGTGCACACACAGACATTTGTCATTTAGATAACTTCCATGTAGCATAAGGCTCAGGACCATAAATATCCTTTATTGGAATATAGATTATTAATTTTGGTTTACGTAGCATGTCATCTGCCCATTTACACTTATAAACTTCAAAATAAAACAGTTTAATCTGTTCAATATTACATCTTAACTTATTTCTATAAATAAACCAAAAATCCACCTCTTCAAATACCTTCTCAATTTGTCTGGCCCAAGTGTTTGACAAATCCCAATAAAAAAATATGTTTTGTTAATCTAAGATCTGACATATTGATMAACCTATTCCACAATTTGACCATATCTCCAACAGCCCTAACTTCACATGGTACCAAGGTACGTATGTACTAAACCATGACCCTCATATCAAGGTACATACAGAACCACAACACTCATACTAAAGTACATACACANCTATCTATCTATCTATCTATCTATCTATCTATCTATCTATCTATCTATCTATCTATCTATCTATCTATCTATCTATCTATCTATCTAGAACACCTTCAAACACAACCAATCCCTGCAAAGTGTTTGCTGTCATGTGAGAGATACCCTCTCTTGTTAAATAGATAATTGTGTAACTTTTTCTCACTGCAAAGACAGCATATTTTATTAGAGTTGGACACATTTTATTCTATTTGTATCCTCAATTTAGTAAAAGTAAACAGAACTGAAGTCACAAGCAGTTTTTTTAAGCAAGAGTGTTTATCATTTGTTGACTCTAAGGACAGCTGTGTTTTAGCCTTAAATATACTCACTGGTATAAACTTTTAACACTATCTTCATCAGTGGTAACGCTGTAGAAAGGTCCCTCAAACCGGGAGATGAAAAGAAATACGGTTTCTCCTTTACTYAATCCAACTCTGGCAGGAAGCTCAATATTAACATTATATGACTCCTAGAGAAAAAAATGACAACATTGCTTTAAGCTTTACCTTAAACATTTATCAGTAAAACAAAACAAACGGTTTCAAACAGGGTTACCTTGTGTCGCGTCGTAAAAAAGTTCAGACCTCCATCAGGGTAAAGGAAGAGGACGTACGAGTCGGTCTCATCGTAACCGATCACCGCTTGGAATGTGTTGACCTTTAGGGGGAGAAGACAAGCTGGATTACAATTTAAATTAAAAAAAAAATTGTTATRTGTGAAGAGGGAAAACATGCAGTGGCTTCAGAAGGTATTCAGACTTTCTTTCTCAGTTTCATTATGTTGTAGTTTAAAACTACAACCATCTAATTCTTGTTTTAAGTTTAGTTTAAATTGAACACTTTCTCCTCATTTCCACAATGTTTGTCCTGCATTCCACAACTGTCCTCTCCATGTTTGTCCTTTTCTTAATGTTTGTCCTTTCTGTTTGTTATCTCCTCAATGTTTGTCCTCTTCCCTATGTTTATCATCCTCTCCATGTTTGTCCTTTTCATATTTGTCCTCCTCCATGTTGGTCCTCCTCTTACTCCTCCATCTCCTTCTCCGCTAATTTGTATTTGTCTCACTCCTTCGCTCCACCTCTTGCAGCTATTTCTCAATTTGTTTTACCACAAACAGACGTTACACAAACATGAATAAATGAAATGAATTGATGAATGAGTGAACGTTTTGTCTGTCATCTCCCACATGCAACCCGCCCACTAAACCACAGTAGAAAAACTGATTTTCTGAATGAAGGGAAGACTTTGAGCGATCCTACATTGCTTTCCTTTGAACAGGATTTGATTACCTGAACACACACGCACACAGAAACACACACATACACACACACAGACCAATGTATATACAACACACCTCGTACTCACAAGCCCAGATGTTGATCCCACAGCTGTCTTCCTGTGTTTCTGACCAGCTCTCATGATGATGTTACAACTCACAAACCAGACGTTCCAAAGTGAGCCCCAGGGCACAAACAAACAACCTATACTCATCTCATGTAAATGTATGTGGGCCTGCTAATTGTTTACATCAACATCTTTAACCTATCTTGTTGTTTGTGGGAGAGGGGGACTTTGTAGTCTCCAGACTGTTTGTAATTAGTGAGGAGAGGGGCTTGTTTTTCTCTTTTTATGTCTAGGAGAGGAGGACAGGAAGATGAAGCTACCAGAGGAATTCTATTCAAATATTCTACAATTCTTTGGTAACTCTGGTAAACAGTCCGTTATCTTTRTTAAACTTCCTACTTTTAGTGAGAAGAAGACAAAGCAGATAAAAAGTGGAATTAGGATTGAAAGATTTGGGCATATTCCTAATACCATGATCAATGCCGTAGAAATGATTTATTGGGGTACAATAAATGTTTATCTTCTCTGTAAGCAAAACACAGGTCAGCAAAAACTGCTAACAGTCATAACAGTAAACAAGCAGATTCAAACACATTATTTACACCAAAGCGTAAATCTGTGATCCTCACACTGCTGTACAAACCCAACCATAAAACTTATTTCAAGGTATGTACTGAACCGAGACCCTCGTACTGAGGTACGTACCAAACCATGGTACTCATATGTCAATAAACCATTACCCTCATACTGAGGTAAAAACCTAATCACAGTACTCATAT